ATGTGGATTTTGATTTAGGCACATTTTACGCCTTTTTATTACTATTCTTGGTTTTTATGAGAAATACTTTATTAATCACTTTTATATCGAAAGTGTATTATTTACTATATAATTTTAATCGAAATACAGTATACAGGGTGATTTTTTTATCGAAGAACACTCATTATTTAAAAAAGTATGAGTGTATGAGTATGAGTGTTCTTCGATAAAAAAATCACCCTGTATATATATTACAGTTTACTGTATTTAAATATATACTTAAAAATCATTTAAATTCAAAAATAATATATTATTTTTTTTTACATATTTATTACCTAAACAAGTTAATAAGTAGGTATATAGAATGTAAATATTATAATGTTTTTGATTCGTATGTACTTAATACATTYATTTATAAACTGAATTGTGCACACAATCATCTTTTGTAAATCATAATAATAGTTATTAAAATACGCTTCTATGATCTGATTTTTTTWAAACTGTTTTCATTAAGACCATAATTACATTATTTTTGATTGAATTTTCAGGTAACTATTATACCAAACGAACCAAACACTGTTAAAATAAATATCATTTTGCCGCAAGCCAGTAAAGCTGGTACGGTATTCTACTTCTGTTCAAAAGAGAGCGATAAGTCCGGTGCAATTTGGACACATATGGGTAGCGAATATTATAAACAGATGGGAGTGTACGAAAAAATGCTACCTTTCTGGCTGCAGGTTGCTATTATTCTCACGTGTTTATCATTCTCATCCCTTTTCTCCGGTCTAAACTTGGGTCTGATGTCGTTGAATCGAATGGACCTGAAGATCATTTGCAACACGGGTACAGAGGCAGAACGAAAATACGCCAAAGCTATATTGCCTGTGCGTATTCATGGTAACTACTTGCTATGTAGTATTCTATTGGGCAACGTCATGGTCAATTCGATATTTACCATTTTGTTGGATGACTTGACGTCCGGCTTGGTGGCCGTAATTACTTCTACTCTGGCCATTGTCATCTTCGGTGAAATCACTCCACAAGCTGTTTGCTCACGTCACGGATTGGCCATCGGAGCCAAAACCATTTACGTCACAAAAACCGTAATGGTGCTTACTACCCCGCTGTCTTGGCCCATCAGTAAGGCTTTAGACTGGGCTCTCGGCGAGGAAATCGGTAGCACATACAACCGAGAACGTCTCAAGGAATTAGTCAAGGTTAGTGACACTAATTTTCTGTTACATATAGTTTTAAATTGAGTTTAATATTATGGTTTTCAACCCTGGTTTTATAAACTTTGGCACACAGCATAACTTAACATGCAGATATGAGATAAAATTAACTTGTATAGGTAGTCTTATTCTTAATTTATAAGTACTTACAGACCAATAAAACACTCTTCTGATGTTTTAGACTTATCAATTAAAATTRTTTATAATATGATTACTAAAATGTAGGTCGATACATTTATAAATTGATTTTAGTTGTTTATGTTCTAATGAAAAATTTATAATTACTTTAGATTTCACTGTTAAAATTTTTTTTTTATTTCATCTGTAGAACTAAACAAAGAAATCAATTGACTTAAAAATTAAATCTGYCTTATTCAGTTAAATTTAATTACTATTTAATTAATAGCGATAAGTTTACAGTTTATACAGTTTATGTACTATATACAAAAGGTAAACTTAAATTATGCATTATATAATGATTTT